TGACGATAGTAAAAAGTAATTTTATGCCACCGATACAATGTCAATAGAAGGAGAGTAGAATAAGCCAACTTATTCACTTTTTAAGTTTAAAGCAGCAATTGACAAAAACAGGACGAAATAATAAGTCAAGCCGTGAGAAAAGAGCGGTCAGCAGATTTACTTTTTTATCGAATAAAAAATAATCCACCCAAGCAGAACTACGTGGGAGGAACCAAAGCAAGACACCAAAGACCATTAGGAGTCATGCGATAAGGAGTGAGGCTAGCATTCCGATTTCCGCCATTAATGTATGCAGACAAAATAGAAGGCATGAAAAATTAAGTGGAGTGAGCAGAGGGTAGAAAACAAACCCTCTAGAAGGCAACTAATTATAGGCTGGTGTATCAGAACACATGAATGCTATTTCCTCGTGATTCTTGCATAAAAACAAAGATTTAAGCCGCCGAGTTTGTAATTTCATTCTTGCTAAGTGACCCAATATGAGATTATGTATGGTAGAGTCAGACATATTCTCTGGAGGTTAGTAGACTCAAAGATTCCTTCGCTCTACAATAAAATCAGCATAGTATTTGTTAAAATATATAATCGAATATATGAAGATCAAGATTGTATGGCCTTTTGTGTGGTGTCAGTCTGCTCTCGTTGTATAGAAGTTGTTTGACCTTGTTTTCACAACTTGGTCATATTGGTAGGAAGACTTAGAGGAACGCATCTAGTTGAGAGTCCTTTGTCTGTATGATCATTTCCAAATTCATACCGTCTTGCCACTCTTAGCACCAGACTACAACTTGTCAAAGAGACAAGTGAATCCGATCCTTTGATCAAATGTGTGCTAAACAGTTGTGGTATCTCTCCTTATGTTATGGGCTATTCACATTTCCTATATCCTCATATCACATCTTCACCGTCACTATTTTTTACTTGCTTATTTCGATGGAGTGTGGTGTGTCCTTTTGAGCGGCTCTCTTACCCCTCTTCACCCTTGTGTTGGGAATTTTGATCAGTCTGCCATATTGTTACGCAGTCCTCCTTTTTAGAGTCTCCCTCTTGCCCCGTAGGATCCGTCTGCTATCTCCCTGGTTCAAGTGTTTCACTCGACCTCTGTGCTACTAGAGGCGTTATTTCTCACACTTTGCCTCTGGGAGACTAACTTGAGGCTACAGCTAGCGAATAATTCTCATGATCAAGCCTTTGCTTCATGGACCACGTCTCTGGTAAAATAGGCCTACTGTTAGCCAACTAGCTCCGGTCTCCAAAGCGTCTATCCGTAATGCCAAGTCTATGACTTGCCATGCCCTAGTCTCTTGTGTGTCAACCCACAAATGTTGTGGTACTGCTTGCTTTGATTAGGTTTAATGTTGAAACACACATTTGTGGATTAAAATATATAGTTACTAGACTTTTAAACGATATAATGGTCTAATATATGCCCTCAAGGAGATTCATGAGTATATGCAAGCTTTCGCACACCCGCAATATAGTAAAGGCCTTAAATGGCCTTAATATGTTAAGATTTAACCAAATTTCAGAAAATACCAGAGACGGAAACACAAATAATATTAAGATATTTGTATATAAGAGTTAAAGAAGTATAAATAATTGAGCTAGATAGAGCTTGTAGGCATAACCACCGATAATCTAGTTTATTTTCTCCAGATTCAGGCTTAACGTATGAGACAAAATGAAGAGTATTTTCACAAAGAAAGAGCTGTCTTAGCTTAAAGTCTCAATAGTGATGTTCCGTGATCTGAGTTCAACTGTTCTTTCTGTCAAAAGGCGCTACTGATAAGTCTCATCAATATAATTGGGATGGTTAAATAAGAAGACGATTGATGTTGGATTACCTTTTATTTCGTTTGAAGGGGTGGACGGAAGGAAATCGTAAGTTGGTCTCACAGGAAGCTGTAGGTGGATTCCCTTGGAGCTGTAATAGTAAATTTGTGCGAATAGGTCATTGGCGCACCGCATCTCGAGTTTAGAAACATTATAGGAAAGGATATCATCGAATACGAAAGATAAGTGAAATTATGAGCTAATTTAGCGATTACCTCTATTTTTCGAACCAAGTATAAATGAACAGAGGTTGATTGCGTGAAAAAATGGCGGAGCTTAAATCCATCATCTGGTTCTAATGAGCACAATTTCGGCCAAACCTGTCTTTGAGATAGTATGTGTCTTAAAGATTATACCACTCTACCTCTGACATCTTGTCTTAGAATGGTACCGCAGGTTTCGAAGAATCCCATGGGGCAAGATTGATGTGAAGACTTTCATTTCGTATGGAAGTACATGATGAAGAGATTCGTAGACCAATCTCATTAGAAGACGACGGCTGATTCGCGTTGTACTGTCGCCATCTGGCATTTAATACGACGTTCAGGTTAATGCCTCTCTTTGCCTGAAACTTTGGAGGATGTCTCGTGGACTGCATTAACCTGAACGTCGTATTAAAGCCAAACGGCTGCAGTAAAACGCGAATCATCATGTACTTCCATACATTTATCCCTTTGAGCAAAAACCTTGGTCGCTAGAATATTGGCCTATCGCTCAAATACATTTGCCATCACTCATGCTGGGTCGAAACAGTTGGGAGAATTAAACTCATTAATCCATCAAGAAAGGATGCCAAGAAAAATTTTTTTACTGCGATCTACTTGTTAGAGTGGATGCAATAGTTAAGCCGCACCCAATGAAGTGAGATTAATGTTGATGGTTTTACCGTCAAATTCTAACTTCACATATTTATAATAGAAGAGCCGTTAAGACTACTGCAGTCCCCATCAAAGCAAAACTGATCATCAAAAGAAGTTAATAGCATTTTCAGTAGATTATAAAGTATAGGCTCCAGGGAATTAGCAGCTGAAAATAAAGTTAAAGTTTCAATAAATAGCAATTAGTTATGGAGGAAGAAGCATTTCCGTAAAATCATAAATTGAGGAGAAAAGGCTTATCTTCGTTCAAAGTTATATATAGATTAGAAACCAATTCAAATATCAAAACAAGATCCAAATTTGGACAATTTTTTGGAATAATGTAACCATGGTGTAGAAGCGTAACAAAGTAGCCTACAAATACTTATATTTTTGCTCCATAGGACAAGGCACATCCGATCCGTTTTGATTTAAACTTGGCTGTTATAAAAGTGGATGGGGTTGATGAGGCGTACTGAACCAGTGAGAAAGTGGAGAAAAGTTAAGTTGGGTGAAAATATGCAATCATTTCCATTTGATGCGCCAATCGTCAACCTCGAAGTGGAATGAGTCTAAACGCCAACTATAGCCGTCCGAAACACCAACAGCCGATCTACCACAAGCCCCATCAGAACTGCCAGGTTCAGCAAGGGAAACTGAATTGGTGAAATGACGCTGTCTCAGACAGTTGTCAGATTCTTCGCTTGAAGTGGTTAGCAGCGAAGAATCAGGATTTCGACTTGGGCCTGACAATTTAGTCGACCAATTGGGCGAAGGAGAATCCTCAGGGTCAGCTTCCAGATTGGCTGCTTCGAGGATGTCGGCTACCAACTGTCCGGTAAGCTTGAGTCCGGCCTTTGAGAACTCGATGACTTGACGTTGGTGCAAGGTGGGTGTGGGAAAGTTATGAATTATTGCGGAATAGAAGATAAATAACGAAAATTAGTCGCCTGAAATACGATGAGAAGAGATTTTCGAGGGCTACTGAGACAAAACCATTTGTGATACTTAGGAGTGGGCTGAAAATAAATTAGCCACACGAAGTGAAACAGAGACATCATAGCCAGATGGAGAGCAAAAAGTAAGTGCTTATTTAGGAAGAAAGCGGAGAGCTAGAGATGAGTTAGTGAATGTTGGATGTAGATAAATCGATAAGGGTTGGGAAGTAGAGGGTAAGCGGGATGAAATAGAAGAGTGGACCAAGAACGATGCAAGTGTGAAAAAAAGGAGAAAACCTTGTACTAAAAACAAACCGTGCTGAAGTATATATGGTAGGAACAGTTTAAAATATAAGAATAAGTAAAGCTTTTATTTCGAAATAATGACACTTATATTCCTGAATGAGTAGTAAGGTGATATCTTCACTTAAAATACATTTTTACAGCAAATAAAGCCAGTATGTTAATTCTTTCATAATAAATCATTTCATTAAAAGAATAGCATTACAACTGACAAGTAAACTATATTCGAAAAATATACTAATGGGGTTCGTATGAAAGGGGAAGATGAACACACTACTTTAAGGAGATGTCAGACCTCCGAGTTTATATGGTCTACCTTAAATAGATAAGAAATGAGTCCTACTTGAAATTTCCGTAAATAATATGGGTAGCACAATGCATTAAACATCATAATTTATTTTTCACCAGTTAAAACAAATCTGCACTGTCACGGTTCGACTCCCGTTGAGGGTGATGATACTACCTAGGCGAGGTCGAAACTGCAGTCCACCTTGGATGAGAACATTTTTTAGAAAAGCAAGAATTTAATTGAAGCGTCAGCTCTACTCATATCTTTGTGGGAAAATTCAACAGCCAGTCTTTCGCCACCTTAAACGAAATAGGGTGAAAACAACTCATATATCTGATTTACTGGTAGTCTCGAAAACCTATTAAATCACAAAACAAGGTAATTAGGACAGCAAAAGTAACGTCTGTCCTAGGCCATCAAGGTTTGATGACCTCATAAGAGAGGTCAGATATAGAGTATATATACAGCTTTTTGGGGATCAGCCAGTGAGTTTTCTTGACTCGTTAGCTTGAATTCGGTTGTAAGCATGATATTTTGCTCTGATGATGTCCGTCACACGACGGACGGAAGATTCACACGTTTGCCGGAATCGAAGGAGATTACTCAGGAAACAAAAATGTTCCAGTAAAGACAATCGACAGCTGGTCAAGATGAATCTGCCGTCGTCTTGTGATGAGATCGATCTTCGAATCTCTTCACCCAACACTTTCACTCGAAATGGAAGTAAACTATTAAAACGAAATAAAAGTTACCCCAACATCAAAGAAATATGAAATGTCTTCTAAAGAACTGGCTAACGGATTGGCAGCACTTTCTTTATATATGCAAATGTATAAAGAGGCTTAATAAATATAATATAGAGAGAAATACAATGAAAATTCGCTTAAATGGTTGTTGCAAAGGATTTTTGGATAGACCATTTTGTATAAAGGATCATGAAGAATGAATTTGTAGGTTGATCTCACCAAAAAACGATGGCCGATTGTCGTCGTACTGCAGCCGTTTAGCTCTAAAATGACGTTCAGGTTAACGCAGTCCACGAGACCCCCTCCCTCGCTTCGGGTGAAAACGGGCTCAGCTTTCGTACATTATATACTGGACATCATCAGAACTGGAACTCATTCTTTTGAAGGTCTCACGTTAAGACAA